GTGGAAGAAGTGGGTTTGGTCTGGTTTGGTACCTCCTAGAGTGGAAACTTTCCTATGGCAGATTTCTCATAGGAAAGTGGCTGTTAGAGTGGAACTTAAGAAGAGAGGAGTTAATCTGGAAAATGTCCAGTGTCCATTATGTCATAACTTTGAGGAGTCAATTCAACATCTTTTTGTATCTTGTTCGGTTGCAATGGAGCTGTGGAATAGATTCATTAATTTTTGGGATATTTCTACAGTTTTGCCCCAAGATCCGGTTTCACTACTTTGTTCTTGGTCCTATATTTGGGAGTACTCTACCATCTGGAAGTTTATTCCTGGAGTAGTTTTATGGTCACTATGGAAAGCAAGGAATTCGGTGGTATTTGAAAACTGGAATTTTGATAGCTCATCTCTGTTCTTTATAACCAGATATAGGCTGGCTAAATGGTTCTTAGCTAAATTTCCTCTTGTTAACATTCAGGCTGACTTATTAATAGGGGATCCATTGCTTGCGGACAGAATCCATACTAAGATATCTAAGAAGAAGAAGGTTATTTGTTGGTCTCTGCCCCCTCATGATTTCTTTAAATTCAATGTTGATGGGGCGGTGAGAGGGGATGGGCTGCAGGGAGGAATTGGAGGAGTTTTGAAAGATTCCAATTGCTCTATTTTAGCCTCTTTCTCTATGGCTGTGGGACCAGGCCCTCCTATGTTAGCTGAGTTAAAAGCTATTAAGCAGGGAATTGATGTATTTCTTTCATCGGAGTGGGCAACGAAGGGAAGACTTATCCTCGAGAGTGATTGCAGGAAAGCAGTGGATTGGATCTTGATACCTATTTCTGCCCCAACGTTCTGTAGCTCTTTGGTTGAGGAAATTGGGGCCTATGTATCTGCTAGGGGTTTTATTATTAATTGGATTCCAAGGAGCTGTAATTGGGAAGCAGACAAGTTAGCAAAAGAGGGGATTGGTTGAGGTGTTGTGTTCTGTTGTTGTAGTGTTATGTATTTTATCTAGGGAAGTTTATTATGTAAGTTGTATCTTATGTAATTATGGGTCATTAATAAAATGAGGTACTCTTTTCCTCCTTCCGCTAGTTGCCTCTTTCACAAGAGCCAACTAAGAGGGAGGTTTTTAATGAGGCCTCCTATTCCTATAAAAAAAAAAAAGTTAGTATCCCTAAATCTAAGGGACTCTTTTTATTACTAGAATTAGTCTCTTACTTAGTTTAGAAGTTACCTAAGATAAGGCTTAGGCTTGTTTATATAATTGTAAGTTTCCTACACATTTAATAAGAGTGAATTACAGTAAAATTCATGACTTTTTTCACCGAGAAATTTGGATCATAAAAAAAATCTAACTAGGGTTAATTTTCAAGGCTCCTTGTATGGAAAATAACTTATTATCAATCTATGAAATTTTGATGGATAAAGAGCTAGGATAGAATATAACAATACATCTTTTGCCATTCAATTTCAATTCTTTGCGGCTTCCTGTTAATCTTATTATGGGTCTTTTAACAAGTTAAAAAAATGCTTTAGTTTTTAATTCCTTGTTGATTTCAAGAACCATTTTTTATTTTAAGCATATTTCTACTAAATTCAGAAAGAGGACGTGTCTTGAGTGACATGTAAAGCAAAATTTTACGACGATGAATGAAAATAAGTAGTGGTTGAACCAGAGGTGGAACCTTGATCCTGACCTTGTAGTATTTGTTGAGGTTGACGATTTGTATTGGTAAATTAAGGACAAGTGATATTATGTCATGTTTATAGATGATAATTTCTTGGTCTCTCTTTTCTCAAAAGGAAAAACAAATATATTTACTATATGTACTAGTTCCCTGACTAATGGATTCCATGCTCTGCTGGGACAGGTCAAGTCCAATGGGAACCAAGGAGGTCCCACTCAAAGGGCTTCAGCTTTAGCTGCCTTATCTTCTGCATTCAATCCATCTTCTGCCAAACCAACCTCATCGGTAATGAAACTGCATATGCCACTTAACTTTGCTAAACTCTCTCTCTCTCTATATGTATGTATGTACAGTTTTGACTGCTTATGCGACTTAACTTTTCGTGAGCTCTTTTCTATATCTTTTTTTCTTTCTATTGTATCTACTTTGAAGTCTCAATTAATAAAAACTGAAAAGGAGCTAGTAAGCTGAACCTGTTAATTCCATCTATATTAGCTGTCTAGTAAGTTGAAAATCATTTTTGCTTTATTGCTGTCTTTCATTCTAAACTTCAAATGTTGTCAATTTGATTCCTATGTTTAATTATGGTTATGCACCTTCCACTTGAAGCCCCTATTTTACAAATGGTAATTTTATCAAAAGTTATCACACCTATGTCATCCTTGCCTGCCCCTATTTTGCGTCTCTCTTCTTTGATATGCTTATGTACCTGCTTGAAGCCGATCTGACATTAGGTTTTCACTGCAGAAAATGAAGCGTGTTGAGTTATCCCGTGTACTAGTTTTTTTTCCTTTCCTTTCCTTTTTCTTTCCATCTTATGAGTTATGAAAAAGATTATTTTCTGCGATTTGATTTCAGTTTTGCCTATTTTGCACACACTGATTCATTGGTTTTGAAATTTGACACTAGGGAATGGTGAAACTTGATATCCACCATATTATCAGGAACATAGGAGAACCATTTATAATTTACTTTCAGGAACCACAAGGAAAGTCATGGCTTTTGATCAGCCTTATTGCCTAGGCAAAATGTCTAGTTGTTTACATCATACTGGCTGGAGAAGGGGACTTCTTCCAGGATCTCCCTAGACACACGGTGGATCCTCTTCTACAACCTATTAATTACACCGGCTATGGCTCTTCGCCCACATCAGAAGGGGTGAATTGCACAAAAGCCGCCACAACCCTTAATTTATCATCAACAATACTTGATTAGGGATGTATTCTAATTTGATGCATGTCTAATGTATTATTTTCTTTCATGTATATTATTATGGCTGATTTGTGCCCGTATTTTGAGAATTCAAGGCATTTGTTACACTGCTTGTGAGCTAAGGATTTGATATGTGCCATTGTTGCAGTCCCAGGCTCGATCAAACGGAAATAATGGTGGGCCTACTCAAAGAGCATCAGCTCTAGCCGCCTTATCATCTGCATTCAATTCATCATCGGCAAGCAAAAAGTCAGCTCCAAAGCCTTCCAGAACGGGTCAGGGTTCGCAAAGGGAAGCAGCTGTAGCTGCTCTTTCTGCAGTTCTTACTGCTGAAAAGAAGACGCTACTGCAGGATGGATCCCCTGCAAAATTCGCTAGCAGCACTCCTGTATCTACCCCACCATGTAAGAACCCGTGTAATTTGGACTAGAAGATATCTAGAAAACGAAAATTGTTGCTTTAAGCTGGTTCGCAAGTAGTTGCTAAATCATCCTAATGCCAGCTTCTTTATTGAATTTGACCTCATCTTTTTCATATAATTGTGAAACTGTCTGATGGCGTTGAGATTGTACAGCCGAAACAAAAAGTGAAGCATACCCTTCTGAAGTTGAGGATTCTCAAGAGGTTGCCGAAGCCAAGGAGACAAGTGTAGCACCTGAAACCAATGGGTTGGATTCAGAACCAAAGCAAAAGATACAGCTGGATGAGAATGGTACATATAGTTATGAGCAGCTGAAAGCCATATCTGGTAATGCTGTAACCGGAATCAATCTCAAACGGACAGAGGTTTGTTCTGCCATCAATGTATCGTTGTTTCTAAGTTAACTCCTTATTTTCTTTCCCCGAATATATTGTTCTTATTCTTTGATTTCTCAGACTTATCTGTCTGATAAGGAGTTCCAGATGGTTTTCGGTATGGAAAAAGAAGCATTCTATAGATTACCAAAGTGGAAGCAAGACCTGAAGAAGAAGAAAGTTGATCTATTCTAAGAATTCCATGTGCTTCATCTGCATCTGAGTAGCAATCCGTCATTTAGTTTGATCTCGAATTCTGTTAGGAAAATTGTGTTGTCGATGGTATATGGTTCCTGGATTGGCATCCAAGATTTGATCATACGATGTTGTCTAAAACAGTGATATATTTGTGGGGTTTTCTTTTTCCTACCTTCTCATAGCAAACACACGCATAGTAGACGAGGACAGCTTTGGCACCATTCTTTCACTTGGTTTGCCATGCCATGCATCTCCATAATCATTGTTTGTTATTCAACTTTCATTTATTTTAATTTTCCGTTGTTTTGATTTGTTAAAAGGAAGGTGATGTACATGATGTTGCATTGTATTGAACTTCAATACAAGTAATGGAAATTCATTGTTTGAGAACCTTATCATTCTTTTTTGATTGAATTTTTTCTTTTCTCGGTGAATGAAACTATTTAATATAAAATATATTTTATTTGAAGTTTTTAATTACTTTATTTAACAAAAATATTAATATTATAATATACGAAATAAATCAACTTAAGTTATGAAAAAAATAGCAACTCATTATTAATATTTGGATATATAAACTATAAAGTTTAAATTTTTTTAGATAATATTGTAAAATTTAATTTAAATATATAAATTATATTTTAGATATTAGAATTATTGAAACGTCATTTTTTGTGTGTCTTTCTTGTCTTCTTCCAACCGGACATAGATTGAAACATCATTTCTTCAGCATCCACCATGTTTTTCTTCTCATTATTGCAGAATTATTTAACAAAATCTAGAGATATAATTCTACAAATAGAAAATAAAAGGCAATACAACAATAGAGTGGTGGATGTAGGTCCAACTCATTTTCAAACTTTCGAAGTGATAATTACAAAATTAAAATATAAATACAAAATATTTTTTTATTGAATAACAAAACTTCAACATACATATAGTGAATATTATTTTCTATAAATTCTAATTCATATATATTTGTTCTTTTTCAAAGAACACAACCCAAGAATCTACTTCAAGCTAACTTAGTTTTACAATCTGACAGTATCATATAAATTATGTTTTAACCAAAAAACAAATAATTTACAGAGGAAAAAAAAGTAAAAATATACTTTCTTATTTTTATTTTCTGAAATGCCAAAGATTCTTTTATTTTGCTAGCAATCCCTATAAACAGAGGATTCTACTTCAATTAAACATATTAGCTTCATAATAACGGAATTACTATTACCCCGGTGGATAATTGAATCATCTGAAGCTGAGTTGGGACTCAATCCCATGGCTGAACTGGCTTCCTGAATTGACTCACTCGATGTAATCAAATTTATATTCTTCAGTATGTGCCCGTTGCCGACGAGTTCACTCAAAATTCCCGACTCAGAGATGTAACTCTTCTTCTTATGCTGCATTGTAGCCCTCACAATCTCGGTCAACATCGCATTGCTTAATCTTCGAATTCCCCTAGCTCCACCCATCAAAATCCCCGAGTTAACCAGGTGATGAGACTGAGTTTTCTCCGAGTTCCGCTTGCTATGCTTACCGGAGCTGCTTTCCTTCGTTAATATATAAACCGACTCGGGGCTCCGATTCCTGACACGGCCAAGCGGATCACTCAGTACCATTAAACTTTTAACATCCAATAACATTACGTGCTTGAAATTTCGACGAAGCCTCCCTAATAGCATCGGATAACAAGCCCATCTTCTCAAACTCATCGGAACGTGATCTAGGAACCCAGCCAACGAGTTCTCAGGATCCAACTCATTCACATCAAACCCCACAACCGAGCCATATATCAACCGAGTTGACTCACCACCTTCAACTTCAGTTGAATTACTATAACTTCCCCGGCCTTTCTTTCCCCAAATAGTCTCCTTCACATCTTTCTTCCCAGATTTCCAAAACTGGGTCGAGTCAAAACTCAAGACCGAGTCACGTAAACCCTTACCGCCACTCGAGTCGTAGTGTCGAACGAGTTTGAAGAAGGACTCGTTCTCTTCCTCAATAACAAAGCCAAATTTCGAAGATGAGGAAGAAGGCCCGAAGAGGAAAACAGTGTCGGCTCTCGAAGTGACGCCCGACCTATGCAAGACACGCAAGAAAAGCCTGAGATCATCTTCGTTCACATCTTCAATAACATGGCCGACAACAAGATCATTCATGGCTTTCGTCCCGCGTCTATACAAAGTTCCTATCCCTTGTAAAGCGAAAGAAGCACTGGGTTTTTTAGTGCGTTGTAGGGGTTTATGGCCCCACATTGGAAAGAACCATTGGGATGAAGAAAGTTGGGGTTTTTGGGACAAGATTCGACGAGGGGCGGCTTTAATGGCTGATGGGGTTCGAGTGGAGGGTTCAAAGTTAGAGAGCGTGAAGAAGAGAAGGGTGAGCAGAAGGAAAAGAGCACAGAGGGAGATGGTAGATAAAGCTTTGGTGAGAAGTAGACCGGAGCTTGTTCTGCGAATGGAATTTGCAATTTTGTGTTGGTCATAGGGGAAGAAGACGAGGAGTAAACCCATGGCGCCCCTGCTTTCTTTGTTCCCTTTGGGGTTTGGCTTAGCTGAGAAACTCATGTCTCTCCTCTCTCTCGCTATCTGCCTATCTCTTTCCTTTGTGGGATTGTATGGTTTTCACTATGAGTAAGACCAACAAGGAGCTGCTATAGACTATAGTGCCCTATATTTCACTAATCAAAACTGAAAAAAGTTGTTCATAATTGCTTAATTTGGTACTTACTTAAGCGTCCTGTCCTTTCTCATTTGTTTTTATTGGTTGTTTTAAGGTTGCAGTAGCTTTTTTTGGTTTCTGTAGTAGTAAATCACAGATATCATCACTCATAATAACTAAATGAAGTGAAAGAAAAGGAAAGATGAAAGAGGGGCCCGTCCCTTGTTTGCAACATGCATGTGTTTGCTTCCCATTAGTAATGTATTTATGAGGTTGTGAATGCACGCAACTCTTCCAACCTTATCCCTATTGAACCTTCCAATCAAACCAAAACTCAACACCCTTTTCTTTTCTTATTTCTAATTTGGATAACTCTTTCTTTGTTTTATTATTACACTGTTATTAAATATCCTCTGAATTTAAATTTATTAAGCGAACTTAGTAGTGAAAGGAAATTTTATTCTTTCAAGAGTTCGAACAGTTTGTATTTGCAACATGTGTGTTATCAATATATACATTATAAATAGATATTATTTTATAATTAGCTTAGACTATTATATTATTGATTTACACTATACATAATTTTCTAAACTAAAAACCTGAATTTAATATCATAAATTATAAAAAAAAAAACTAACCTTCAAAGGATTAACGAAGCCTAAGATTATATACATGCAATTACGTCTCTTTTTATTCTTTGTAAGTCAGCGGATGCTATTATGTTGAAATGCTACTTAACAGAGACATATACAAGTCTTACAAACAATCAAAGGTAATATGGAGTTATTCTATCATATGTATACATATGTTTATTTTTTTAAAAAAGTTAAAAATATTATTTAAAAATATTTTTTAAGAAAAACATCTCTCTATCCGCATGCTCAAAAGATTTTTTCCCTCACCTTTGCAAAAAATCCCCCCTCTCCAGTTGCATTTATAACCTCCTTCATCGTTCCCATAAACCCCTAAAGTTAATGTTATATTTTGACCTAAATTGTAATTGATAATTAAGTTGAATTTTATTATAATTCTAGTGGTAAAAGATTACTTGGTAATTAGGTTTATTTAATAAAGTAAATATTTATTTTAGACGAGAATTCTTTGTGAACAAGTATTTTGATTTATAATAAATATTATATTTTAACCTTTAGGATTATGTGAGAGTGAATTATTTTGGAGAGATATAATCATTTTTAGGTTCTCTACAACTTCTGGAGTTTATGGTGTAGATATAGTTTTGTAGGGATGTTGGAAGAATGTTTTGGGATATACAAGAGGTTTTGGTATCTATACCGAGTTTTTAGGATGCATGTGATATCATGTATTTTTACTTTTTATTCTCTACATTTATAGTGGATTATTGTTCATCTTGCTCGTGGAGGTAGGCCATGCTAAACCAAATTAAATCTTGCTTGTTGTGTATGTCTTATGTAACACCCTAATCTTATCCAACCTTCAATCCAAAAGATTAGAATATCACACGGAACCACCCAAAGTGGCTAACCATCTCTCCTTTTTTTTTTTAATTTTTTTATCACATCCTTAATATTTAAACCATAATTTAAAACATAATAAAATCTAAATATTTTAAGTTTACAAAATGTGGGGAGCTCTCAATAGTACATCCCAAAAATATATATGTCAAAATAGAATTTAGGACTCGAAATACATAAGGGGCAATGATAGTACATGCCCACTACAAATACTCGAGACGTACTTTAGAAAAGTCATAGTCTAAAATCTACAAGTTGGCGATGAGCTCCTCGACAGACACCTAATAACATGCTTACAAAAACACATTCTGAACAAATAACACAACTATACTACATACATTTAATAAATGAACATGTTACAAGTATAATAATGAACAATAAGGTACATTCAACACTCAACATAAGTAAGCATTATGGTGTAGCTCAGGGTCACATGGCATCGTGGAACTTACACCCCTATTTGCTTACTAGGGGTAATTTGGCTAAGATCTGAGTCACACAACATCAACATTTCCCAAATACCCTAAGCAAGGTCCAGGTCACATAGCATTTGCACCTTGCTTAGCTAGTCTACTCTTATAGAGTACTCATAACTTATTTGGGTCACTTAGCATCAATACCATGTTTAACTAACCCTAAGTGCTCTTGCATTAGTTTGACGATCGCAAGTAACTTGTGTTCCCTCATTGTTTCCTGAGCATTAAATAAAGCATATGTCTTATAAAGTCTTACCTCATAATGATCTTATGTTACCACACAATTATTAATATTCTCACTTGCAACATTTTATTAGAGAAGTTTCCCATCGATCCTAACCCTTTCTCGAATCCCTCGATTGCAGCAAGGTTTATGGCCTTCACTTTCACGATATTACTGATACTCAACCTTAGGGTATCGATACTACCTTCTCTTATGGTATCGATAGTACCCTAAGTATCGATACCAAATTAGCACACTAGAATTTGACAAAATGCTCAAAATCGATACCCTACCTAGAGTATTGGTACTACCCTTTTGTGGTATCCATATTTCCCGAGTATAGATACAAAAATTGTATTTGATGTTTTAAAATTAAATGGACGTCGATACCAACTTTATGGTACCAATACTACCTAAGTATCGATACCAAATTAGTTTACTGGAATTTGAGTTGGTCTTCTAGTATCGATGTTGTAGAATTTGAAGTAGAATACTCTTTCACTTGTATTTTATTGATTAGTAGAGAGGGGTATATATACAACTCTAATCGCTTAAACTAGGTAATATAATATATTACAATAAAAGTAATTAGCCTAATAATCATCCTAACAATTAGCCTAAGAATCTGTAACACTCCTCCTTAAGTTGGATTATAGATATTGATCATGACGAACTTGTTACATGGATAATTAATTCAGATTTCGTTGAGAGCCTTTATAAAGATATCTCCTAGTTGTTTTCTGGTCTTCACATATACAGTAGTGATCAATCATTGTTGTATCTTTCCGCGAAAAAAATGACAATCAATCTTAATATATTTTGTTCATTCATGAAAGACTGGGTTGGAAGCAATGCGAAGCGCAACTTGATTATCACATTAAAGTTTTGCAGGAGCTGAACTTTTAATTCCTACTTCATTAAGGAATTGATAGACCCATATGATTTCATATACGGACTTGAAAATTGCTCTATATTTGGCTTCTGCACTAGAATGTTAGACCACAGTCAGTTTCTTACTCTTCTACGAAATTAAGTTTCCTTCAACAAACACATAATATCCCGAGGTAGATATTTTATGTTCCTTGCACCCAGCCCAACACGAGTCTAAAAAATATTCGATATGAGTATGACCATGATTTTCATATAACATTCGATAGTTGGTGATGCCATATATTGACTCAGAACACTCACATGATAAGTAATATCAAGATGCATTACAATATGATAATTCAATTTTCCAATTAGTCTTCTGTACCTTTCATGACCATCAAATAATTCAAATTATTTGGATAATTGTAGATTGGGGCCATTGGAGTACTACAAGGTTTATCGCTCAATTTTCTCAACTCCGATAATAGATCAAACACACATTATCTTTGGGATATGAAGATTCCTCTTTTACTTCTGTTCACCTCAACTCCCAAAAAATATTTTAACATCCTTAGATCTTTGGTGTGGAACTGAGTATGGAGAAAAGACTTTAGAGATAAAATTGCAAGAGTCACTTCCAGTTATTACAATATCATCCACATACACAAATAATATGATAATTCCCTCATCAGACTTTTTAAAGAAAACAGATTGATTTGACTTATTTTTCTGCATCCAGAACTTCTCAATAGCCAGACTAAACTTTCCAAACCACACCCTAGGGCTTTGTTTTAAGCCCTATAGAGATTTATTCAAATGGCATACTTTCACATACTCCTCTGAGCAATAAAACTAGGTGGTTACTCTGTATACACCTCATCATCAATATCACCATGAAGAAAGGCATTATTTATATCCAACTGACGTAAAGGCCAAGCAAAAGTGGCTGCAAGTGAGACGGATAATCTAACCAAAACAAGTTTAGCAACAAGAGAAAATGTATCATAATAATCCACTCTATAACTTTCAGCATATCCTTTAGCAAAATGTCAAGCTTCCAATCGATGAATAGATCAATCAAGATTGAATTTAACAGTAAAAATTCATTTGTACCCAATAGCTTATTTACCAATAGGTAAAGGTACCAAAGTCCACGTACCATTTTCTTCTAGAAAAGTCATTTCCTCAAGCATAGTTGTACGCCATCCTGGATGAACTAATGCCTCTCGAACATTTTTAGGGATAAAAACATTATATGAGGAGGTAAGAAAAGCACGAGAAGATGAGGACAAACAATTATAGGAAACAATAGAAGAAATTGGGTATGTACATGTACGTTTACCTTTTCGAAGGGCAATAGGAAGATCAATATCATTTGTAGTAATCGAATATGATGACAAAGATATTGCATCATCATGACATTATTCCTATGCCTCTATAACCAGGTTAGAGCTGTGTAGTTGTGGCCAAAGTGAGTAGGTGTTTTTAATGGGAGGTTTATAAAAAAAAAGGTTGAACCAATGTAAAGGATGGCAAATCCAAGTTTGATGGGATAT